TATACCTATGATGAAAATTACAGGCCTCTCTCATCTTTTTAAGTGGGAGAACTTGCACAATTGGTGGCTGACTAAATACTTTTTTGCCCCACTGTAATTTCTTCTGTTTTTAGAAAAAGCCAGTTCCAGCAAGAAAAAGGAACAATTCAGCTAACATTCTGGATAGCTTTTGTAAATAATACTCTGAAGACAGAGACCTACAGAATAAAATGACATTTGAATAGCTTTATGGAGTACAGGTAGTCCCTGGGTTAAGAACGCCCGATTTACAGATGACCCATAGTTAAGAACAGAGCCTACTGTAGCAAAATTCAAGTTAAATACAGGAACAATTCAGCTAACATTCTGGATAGCTTTTGTAAATAATACTCTGAAGACAGAGACCTACAGAATAAAATGACATTTGAATAGCTTTATGGAGTACAGGTAGTCCCTGGGTTAAGAACGCCCGATTTACAGATGACCCATAGTTAAGAACAGAGCCTACTGTAGCAAAATTCAAGTTAAATACACAATGGTTTGAGTCATTGACACAATATTACTTTTACAGTATTATACAATAACACTGTTCTGGCTTACATACAGATTCAACTTAAGGACAGACCTTGGGAGTGGAACTCATTCTTAAACTGGGGACTACTTGTACTTCAACAGAACAAGTATTTTATGTACGTGAAGTTTAGACTTCAAATTTCAGAATACAGTGTTCTCACCTCTTCACTTCTATTGTAATTATGTGCTTTCTATTGTAATTATGGTATCTCAAACCACTCCAAATTTCAGTCTCAGTTTTAATTATTGTGATATTACTGAGAGCTCCTCCCTTAGCTGTTCAATTTATCAGGCAGTGATAACAGCAAAGAAAAAACTTCTCCTACAACTTTCACTGGGCCCTACAACAGTAACCTAGACCTCTGGAAAATAAAGTTAATAACAATTTCTAAGGGCACCTCATTGTCAAGACACTGTTGCTTCTATCAGAAATGTTTGGGGGATTAAAAAAAACAAATAAGACAAACAGAAAATGGCCTTGACTGTTCACCCAATGACCTCTAGGGTTGATTGTGTTCTATAATGGGTCAGGGACTTGGTGAATAAGAATTGGGAAGCTTATAAATTCTATCCTTCTCCAATTACTAAATTGTCTGAACTGCTACCCGAATCCAAATCATGTCAAATTAGCTCTTTTTTTAGGAAAATTCTGAATTAAGGCTTTTGAAGATTCATTCATTACTATTCACATTACAGATAATGGCTCTGAAAAATCTAGATACCAGTTATTTTCTTTATTGATGGGCCTGCTTTATTAGATTCCATGTTAGCTCAGAGAACCCCAAGGACTCCAAGTTATATTTCATTCTTCAGAATTTTGATCCTCATTCAAGGCTTTTAAAACAAAGAAGGTATTCTCTCCTTTTAAGACCAAAAGCAGTATCACTTACCTTAATGTACAGATGATTTGGAGAGCCATCTATAGCTCTGCTTTGGTTGTGCAGAAGTTGCTGAGCATCTTGGATTGCTTTAGTTATAGCATCTCCCTCTCCAAGGAATCCTGATATTTAAAAAATACAACTGGTGTTATGATCAACTGATAATATCTTCATGAAGATCACCAGTGCACAGAAAATTACTAAAGCAAGAAAATAGTATGGCTACCAGATCTGGGTGGCAAAAATCCAGACAACCATTAGATGGCAGCAAAAGGTTACAGAAAATCCTGACTTCGCCACCATCTGCTGCCAACATCCAAAATTTTATAGCCTGGATATGATAGCTCTACCTTGCCTTTTGCATAAGCATGCCTTAACTGCAGCAATTTTCCCCTATTGTCCTATAAAGCTTCAAGTTAATTTTCTTTTAGAATCAATGATGGTTACTTTTTTTTTCTCATCAGAAAAAGATATATTTACAGTGCAATCCTGTGATTCCTAGGTGATACATGGGCCATATGTGAACTTCCACTTACATTACTGGCATGTGAAATCTGCAAGGAGGTCTTTCCTGAGTGTCAGAGTTGATATATGCTACTGTTGCTACTGGCAGTGGTCCACTGATAGTAAATGGAAAGAGAGAGAATTCCAGCCCTGAACCTTTTGTAATTGACTGCACTCCTATTGGAGGCAACGTAAGAGATTTTCAACACAAAAAAGACTTCAGTTCTAATTAACATAAGCCTGGAGGGCTCAAGAATTATGAGTTTCCTTCTTCCACATGCCTAAGACTGCTGTGCTTTTTATCTTGTGCCTTTGGTTATCATGAAACTGCAAAATGTGCATCTCCAACAAAAAAATACACTACAATGTCCCCACAAATTCTGCATCACATTAGACTTCAGACTAGATTTCTGCTTCTCTGCAAGAGGGTAATAAATGAAAAAAAAAAATCCATCCTTCATTTTCTGATTTGGAGTGATTAGAATATTCAAAGTATCTGTTAACTTCATTGGCTCAGATTAACTCTAGGAGCCTTGAACTCTTTAATTTGCATATATTTCAAAATCATGGATATCCCAAAAGATGATGCAATATGTTGGATATACTAATTTGGATATACGAGCACTCTTGCAACATGATAGACCATTGGTTCATCTAGATCAAATCTGTCTCTCCTGACTTATAGAAATTGTCCAAGTTTTCCCAGACATATTTGGAGATGTTGAGGACTACATCTTTTGCATGCACAGCACATGCTTCTACCTCTGAACTGCAGCTTCTTTTCCCTCTTCAGCACTGGTGCATCAACAAGATAAAATCCCAAAAGGAATCCTGAGGAAAGGAGTATTCATCCCTTCCTGAATCTAGGGATGTCAAGAATTCTTCCCCCAAGAAAAATCAAAAGAGTAAGCTAATAAAGCACAGATATTTTGCAATGGGTTTGCAATTATAAGTGATTCAAACAAAGAAGCATTTCTCTGCCAGCTCTGCGTCAGAGAAACAGACTTACCCAAAGGAAGGTTGGGTGGGCTGGTCTGCAACTCCCGAGAAACTCCATGGTTAGCATTGAGGGGCTGACTGCTACTAATCTTTAAAGTAGGTGTGCTAGAGGCATTGGGGGGTTCAGAGCCTTTAGACTTTGCTGTTAAGTTCAGTGGCTGTGACGATTCCTGAAGAGAAAACAGAGGAGGAGAATAGAAACACTTTCCTACAAGATTTGGGGACCCAAGGAAAAAAGCAGTTAAGAGGTTTTACCTGGATCTGTAGGTGGCCTGAGCTTGCAGGTCTCTTCAGTGCTGAAGGAGGGGGACTATGAAGCAGCTGCATAGGATAGTCCACTGTAGATTGTAAAGAAACAGAAGAGATGCAGATTGTGCACAATGTCAAACATGAACTAAGATCCTTCTTATATCAACAGTGAATCAAGACTGAATCTGCCTTAAGTACAGTGAAACTCGACCTGTGATGGACTGGAATGGAGGAAGAGGCATGAAAATGGTGCTCTCATCTCCAGAGCAACGCTCTGGAGGTAAGCAGAGAAAGCTGGCGCATCCCTAAACATTCCAGAAGATAGTAGAGAGTTGTGCCTGG